ATTCGATTAAACCTTAGCTTCAACAAACAAAAACAAACTCGCGAAATATTTAATTTATTAATTATTACAAAAATTTCTTTTCGAATACGTTTTAATAATAATAATAATAATAATAATAATATCGAAAACTTTTCAAACGATTTTTAATAAAATCGGGAAAATATTTTTTAAAATCTTTTTTTTTAATCAACTAAACAATAAACGCAAAAGCGAAAAGTTTTCTTTTTCCTCAATTAATTTTCCACTTGTTTTTAAAAATTTAAACGACAAATAATAAACAAAAAAATAAAATAAAAACCTTAGAAAAATAATAATAATAATAATAATAATACAAAAAAAATTATTTAAAAAAAAAAATTATCGACCGAACGTATCCAATAATAATAATATATTTATATAAATATGTGTAAGCGCGTGTGTGTCTGTTTGTGTGTAAATAATTCGAGATATTTCGATTTATCGTAAATCGCGATTTCGGTTTTTAAAAAAAAACAAAACAAAACAAAAAGTCGTTGGTGCCGCACATTAAATTTATTAATAGCCACGAAATAAATAAACTGTGAAAAAACCCGAACCGAACAAACTGAACATTTAACCGGGAAGAAAGGGAAAAAAAAAAAATTATATATATATATTATTCCGTTACGTATATACGTAACGTAACGTACGTACGTAACGAGGAAAGAAATCATATGAACGCAAATGGCGGCGCTCGCTATCGGACATTTTCAAAATTAAAATTTATCCTTCGACGAATTAAAAAAAAAAAATTAATTTCTTCTTTTTCTTCTTTTATTTTTTTATTTTTTTTTAATTATTGTATTTAAAAAAGTAATAATAATAATAATACTTTGGCCGTTTCAAACGTTTCGTTTAAAAAAAAAAAAAAAAAAAAAAAAAAAACTTAATAAAGAAATTCCATTAAATTATTTTAAGTACGATTTTTCAAATCTACTCATTCGACGTAAAATAATTATTAATTAATTAATTAAATTTTGATAACGTTATCACCGATAGCGATTTCAATATAAAAAAATAATAATAATAATAATTTTATGATCGACGATAAAAAATAAAATAAAATTTAAATGAATCCTTTTTTATTGTTTTAAGGCCAAAAAAATTGTAACTGTTCGAGATAAACTTTTTGAAAAGCCCTCCAAAATTTTTAATTAACGTTCCCGTGGACCCCCTATCTTCCCCTTTCTTCCCCTTCCCCCTTCCTCTCCCTCTTCTTCCCCCACAGAAAAAAAATTTTTCTTTTTTATTTAATCACGTAAATGTTTAATATGTATAACACCATCGCGACCTTGATATATATTTCTTATCAATCGGTTTTCTCTCTCTTATCACTCACCTATTTTTTTTTTTTTTTCTCAAACGATTTTCGAAGGTTTTCTTAAGTTCGCCATTATTTTAAAAAAAAATAGAATCGCGCAAAAAATAATAATAATAATAATAAATAAACTTACGGATGCGTGACTGTGACAAGATGAATCCAGGTCTAAGCCGAGGTAAAAACCAGGACGAAAATGACCAAGATCCTGATAACCGTGTTCAACATCTGTGTAAGACATTATTATTATTATTATTACGATGATGATGATAATGATGATGATTCCCTTCAGCAATTAAAATTTTCTTTTTTCTTAATGACATCCCAGAATTCATAACTAACCAGGTGTGTATATATTTATATATATATCTACATGTGAAAGAAAAAAAAAGATTAAAAATAAATTAAATTAATGTTTTTGTGTGTTAATTAGTCTTACTATTATTATTATTATTTGCTAATGCATGAAAATAAATGTGACACGTAAAAATTTTTTTTTTTAAATGAAAAGTAAATAACCTAAAACACGTAGACGATATTTAACACAAATTTTTTTTTATTAATAAAACAACAATGGATACAATCATTATGTGAAAAATAAATAAAAAAATTGCTGAATTGTAATAAAAATTATTTTTAAGAGTAAATTCATTTTTTTTTTTAATGTGACGTTAACAAAAATAAATAAATAAAGATTTAAAATATTTCAATTGATAAATAAATAAATTTTTAAAATGTAATTACGACTCTTGAAAAAATAATAAATTTTAAATTATTTTTTTTCAAATGGAAAAAAATCAATCGAGTAATTTTTTTTTTTTTTTGTGAATTTATTGTAAAATTAAATTTAAAATTTAAAAAAAAAAAAAAATTAATTTGACGTTAAATAATTTTTTTATTGATAAATTTGACATTAATAATGTCAAATGTGAATTATGGGTCAAATATAAATTAACTCGAGTCATTTATTATTTACCAAATAATTGTTAAATTTTTGACGAAAAAAAAAAAAGAAAAAAAAATGATAATATTCGAATGTGGATATTGATAAATAAATAATTAAATTATTTTATTGAAAATTTTATTTTAAAAGGGTAAAAATCTTAATGATTTTAACAATGAGAAGGGAGTGAAAAATTTTTTTCATTGTAATTCGATAATGAATTTATTTAAGATGTTAAGGTTGATGAATTTGTTATTTGATTAAGAATATTTGCACAAGTATCATAATTATTTATCATGCATTGTTGATTGTTAAGGACAATATGAAGAGTGATATTTTATGTAATATCAAAAACAAAAAAATAATCAAACCGAATATTATTTCTTTATAATTTTTATTAAAATTTTAAAATGATTTTTTACAGTTAAAAAATGAAAAATGACTTTTCGAATAAAATTAAAATGGTTCAATATTGTAACCTTGGGAAAAATTAAAACATTTGGAGAAATAGATTAAGAATTAAAAGAAAATGAAATAATATTTAGAATTTCAATTAACAAAAATGAAAATTTAAGATAAATTATTTTGTTAAAATGCTTTTTTTTCAATACTAACTCATACATTTGTTAAGGTAGTTTTATTAATAGCAATTTTGTTTTTTTTAAAGTAGCCAAGAATTAGAAATTTCAGGGATTTATTAATATAATGAAAAGAAAGAGTTAAAAAAAAAAACAATAGAATTGAAACTTTTGTTACTGAAATAGTTTTAACTCTTTTTCTAAGCCATAAAATTAATTTTTAAAAGTTATAATTTCATATAAAAGTTTTAAAAATTTTATAAAGATAATTAAATAAATTATAAGGTCGTAAAAATTAACGATATCATTATTGTTTCGTAATGGAATTGGACGGATAGTCAGTCCAATTTAATGAATTTGAAGTAAATTTAAGTTAATCGATCACATAATAAAAATGGCCGTCATTATGACCAACATAGGTTAATGAAAAATATCTAAGAAATAAATGTGAAATTTTTTTAAAATTATGTAATGTCAATAGTTTTTAATAAAATTTATTAATTTTTCACTTACCTTGTGTGTGATGTATAAAAAAAAATAATGTTTATTTAAATTAAAATAAATTTAAAAGCGCGTTTTAACAATACGGTATTTTAAAAAGTTAAACAAATTATTTCCCCAGCCCCAATTTACTACTGTACTACTCTAGTCAATTACTTGTTTTTTTTAATTTAAAAAAAAAACTTTTCTTTGACTAAAAAAATTTTAATAAAACTAAAATGTTTCTTTAAAAAAAAAAGAATTAAAATTAAAATTAAAAATAAAAATATAATCGATTAAATACTTAGAATAAATTATTAAAATTACTTACCAGAATTTTTGACCGTTGAAATCTAATACAAATTTTAACTTTATTATAATTAAGTAAATTTTTTAAGTGAAAACCCAACTTTTTTTGTTGTTAAATTATTTTTATTTAGAGTAAAACTTAAGAAATAAAAAAACTATTCATTTAAAATGCTTTTTATATTTATTTTTATTTGTAATTTATAAAACTTTTTGAGCCATCATTAAGTTTTAATATTCAACATATAAAGTGATGTGTATAATCCTTCATTCACAATTTTTTTATTGTCTGTTTTCGTATATTAATTTGATTTAAACAATACTTAACTTTAAATATATTTACTATTAAAAAAAAAATAAAATTTTGAAATGGATATATCAATATTTAAAAAACTTTTAATCATAATTAGACAAGGTATAAAACTGAATGGATTAACAAATTTTTTTATTTTAAATGTCATCATAATTGAAAATTTACAGACGAGCTTGAGCAGGATTTGTGTGAATATTACACAATCCAGTGTAGGGAGTAGCATTTCTAACTAAAGGTTGAAGTTCTTTAAATTTTGGATGTTTGGAATCAACTAGAAGTTTGAATATGACATTTTCTGTTGTCGATATAAAACAACCCATTTGTTTCATTCTCTGCAATTTAACATTAACAAGTAATTAAGTCAACTAATTGTTCTTTAAAATTTAATCATAAGAAACATCTTATTGATTACCTCTAGAGCCAAACATCTATCTTCCAAACTACGAGATGAACAAGCATCAGCAACGATATGAACGCTGAGTCCAAGACCAAGCAAATCGATTGCTGTTTGTTCTATGCAGGCATGAGCTTCGATGCCATACAAAATGGCACATTTAAGATCAGGGATTTTTTCTAATTGTGAAACAACCTCTGGAACACACATACTGAATTTTGTTTTAGGAAAAACTCCAACAGCATGATCTTTTTTAATTTCCTCAACTGTTGGACCGAAAGCCTGTGGATATTGTTCTGTCACGATAAGAGGTATATTTAAAACTTTAGAAACAGTCGTCTGCAAAAAAATTATATATTATTGTTTTTATGAAAAAACATTAAATAAACTTTTAAACACTTTAAGTATACTTACTAATCTTGATGCCCCATGAAGGACTTCTTTAAAATAAGACACTATAGGCCTGAATTTTTCTTGCAAGTCGCATAATAAAAAAACTGATTGTTTAGCTGGCAAATAACCAAACTTAATTAAATTTGACATTTTGAAAATTAAAGTTTAGAGAATATTGTTTTAAAATAACTAAAATAAAATAAAATAATTTCACAATTAAAGTAACAAAACTACAAAGTTTATAAGAATTGTGTTGGGGTAAAACAAAACAAAAAAAAGTTTACATTGCTGCAAAAAGTATGATAATTAATTATAACATATTTAAATATAAGTTATTATGTGGCAAACTTACGTAAATTGAATTCAAAATATGGAATTGAAAATTCAATGGATATTAATATTACTGAAAAAATATTATTTGTTGAACAAAATTAAATTGTGATAATAGTAAAAAAAAATAAAATATTTAATTTTTTTTTTTTATCTTATAGAATATTTATCAATATTTTTTTTATTCAAATTCAAAAATTGAAAAATTTTTATTTCTATTTTGATATCAAATAATTATTATATAAAAAGAAAAAAAAAAAAAAAAACTAATTCATGATAAGCGTAACATTATCAATGTAAACTTAAATTCAACGTACGTACAAAGTCTTTTGCTAACAGTAATAACACGTTCAGTATTTTCCTGCCAGTAACTAATTAATTAGTTAACTAAAAAATAATATCGGGGTAAGTTATTAATATTATCTATATTTTTTCTTAGTAATTATTAAATTTAATTATTCAATTTTATTTAAATTTACGTTATTTATTGTCATATTGAAGAAATGTGAATTGTTCCCTAACCGAAATTATATTTAAATTTTTTTTTTGATATTTTGAGGTTATGTTTTTGATTGCGTGTTTTACAGGTAATAATCATGTCGAGTCGTGAAGGAGGTAAGAAAAAACCTCTTAAAGCACCGAAAAAAGCAGAAAAAACGTTAGACGATGAAGATTTGGCATTTAAACAAAAGCAAAAGGTAACATTTATTAATTTACTGATAATTGTGAACTTATGTTAAATAACACAAAAAATATAACTTGCTCTTTATTTCAGGAACAACAAAAAGCTTTAGCTGATGCCAAAGCGAAAGCATCTCAAAAAGGTCCTCTTCTAGGTGGTGGTATAAAAAAATCTGGAAAAAAATAATAAATATATATATATGTACATACATATAACATGAAGAATATTATTAAAAAAAATTTTTTTATGGTGTGGAAAGTGTCATCGACTTTTTATTTTTTTATTTTTTCCCGAAATCAAATCACTAATAATTGAAATTTTTTGAAAAACAATTAATATGCATTTTTATTATTATCATATATATATATATACATACTTAAAAAAGATTATAATGATTTTATATTGAAAGTGAAAGTAATTTTTTTTTTTTTTTTTTTGCTTTTATTTATTTATTTATGACAAATATCAAATCTCGTCTACTGTCATAATCGTGTTTGGAAATTTTTTAAATTTTTTAGATTTTTGCTCCTGTAAATTTAATAAAGGGTAATTTTTATATAAAATCATTAAACATTTATGTTGATTTAAACAAAAAATTTTTTTTCTTTTTAAAAACTGTTTCGCTTCCTATCCCGAGCATAATATTATCGATTAAATCAGTTCTTTTCATATTCGAAAATGAATTTATCGCAATACATGGTTTAGTACAATGTTATGTTGTAGAAAACTCAATTTTTGAATATTATGAAATATAAAAATGAAAATTAATATATATATATATAAAATATGAAAAATGAATGATATAATGTAAAATTTCAAAAAAGGTAAAATGAAAATTTTTATCGATAAAATTTATTTTTAATGAAAAATACAGTATACACAAGTAACTTTATGACTGCAATCAAAAAAACTACCTTTTACATTAATGAACTTTAAATTAATTAAACAGCACAATTTTTGTTATTTTTATTTAGTTTTATCCAAAATTTACATTTCTATTTAATAAGTTTTCGATTCTTTTCACTTTTTATGATTTAAAAACATCCTCAAAACAAAAAATCTCATTAAAAACCTTTCATACGTTCCTTTAAAGCTTACTAGTATACTATAAATATATTTTGAATTCGAATTTGAATGACAAAAGCAAAAAAGGCGGGAATAAAAGATTTGCTTCAATTCATTAATATATTTTGCTACGATTAAGTCGAATTCAAAATCATCAAACAGAACAAGTTAACAATAAAATTACAGTCATCAATTCCGTTTGGTTGCGAGAAGTGTATCGGATTAATGTTTTTTTTAACGTAGAAAAAAAAAAATATAAAAAAATAATAATAATAAAATTTCGTAATGTTTCAAATTGTTTCATATACGTTCCGGATTTGATGTAAAAAATTATCGGTTAATAAAAAAAAAATTTCGTTATAAATAATTAAAAAAAAAAAAAAAAAAAAAAAAATATGGCTAGGTTAACTGAGGACATGGTGGTAGCACGAACCCGAGCATCTGATTTGTCTTCAATTAAAAAACTCAACTGTTGGTAAGTATGTTATTATTATTATCATCATCATCCTTAGCATTATTTTTTAATGTTTTGCTGGCAAGAGTGCGAATGCAAAAAAAAAAAAAATGGTAATAATAATAATAAAAATGTTATACAGATGCTTTGTTTACCATAATATTTACAAACTCCCCTCCTACCACCTAATCATTCAAAATTTGTTAGTTTTTATGTTTCTTTGTATTTGATAAACAAAAAAAAAAAAGTTCCACTCAACTTATCGAATAAACATAACATAAAAAAAAAAAAGCTTAAGAATAATGGACATTTAATTATATTTTTTATTAATTTGTTAATTTTCTTTGTTTAAATTTTACCAAAAAATTTTTATTAACAATTTCTTTTTTTTTTTTTGTTATTCAGGGGAGGAGAATTGCAAGACATAAGTTTGCTCAGACGAATGAATAATGTTGAAGTCCTTTCGCTAAGGTTTGTCAAATTATTATTATTATTATTAATTTGTTTTGAATTCTTATTTTATTTGTGATTCATTTCGAATGATGATGATGATGCAATTTTTTAAATTAAAAAAATTCAAGTTTTAACATGATTTAAATTAGAACACCTTGATATGTTTGTAAGGTGTAATAAAAAATTATTATTATTATTATTATTTGTTTTTAAAATGTAAACATTGTTAAATTATTATTTTATATCAGTTGAAAATTTTTCAAAAACTGATTCGACTAATTGATTGATGTTATTATCAGAGCACTGATTATGTTTATGTTGATTACAATAACATAAATGTTGTTGTTAATTTTTTTTCAATGAATGTTAAAATGCATAAGATGACAATTTTTTTGTTTGATACATTCAAAATGTCAATGACTGATTTTTTTTTTTGTATGTTTTTCTCATGTAAACTATCATAATGATAATCTTTGCACTTGTAAATAAATATTGAACAAAGTTAAATAAAATACCGAAGTCAGAAAATCATAAATAATTATAATCAAAGAAGGGACTCCAACATTTGAAAACATAAAATTATTCCCACACACATCCAATAATTTTTTTTTTTTTTTTTTTTTTTTTTTTCCTTGTAATTTTGGGTTTTGAAAAAAAAAAAAAAAAAAAAAAAGGGAGGGGTTGTTGTTGTTGTGTTTTTGATGGCATCACAAATAAAAAAAAAAATAATTTTTTTTTTTTTTTTTAAATTCGGATTTAAAACCTCCTCGAATTTATAAATATTAATTAAAAATGTTTCGTCGAGATTTACTGGTAATATAAGTAATAGGAGGTTTAAAAAAAAAAAAAAAATCGTTAATTTTTTTTGTTTTTTTTTTTTTTTTAAACGTTAATAAATTAACTCGCGTGTTAAACATGAATATTTTTTTTTTCTACCTGTTTTTAATTCGGGGTAAAAAGAGGGGGAGGGGGAAGGGGAAACCTATTGGATAAATCGGTAGTTAAAAGTCATTCACTTGTCAAAATAATAATAATAATAATAATAGTAATTTTTCCCTAAAATTTTTTCCTAATTTTCATAATGGGTCAAAAGGTTGAGTTGTTGGAAAATTTTTTAAAAGTCATTAAATGGTGCAATTATTGTTTAAAAGTTATTTTTGGCACTTAAATTTTCACCTTTGTGAAAGAAAAAAAGAAAAATGGAAGACATTTTTTTTTCTTTCTTTGTTAAACAAATAAGTTTTCGTTTGTTATTATTCGAATAATCAATAAAGATATGTTATTATGTGACGTTTACGTTTATTTCGAGTGAATGATTTGCGAATTTTCATTTACCGGTTTTTCAGGTTTTTTAAAATAAAACCATTGTATGACGGTGACTCCCCGTGGGAAGAAAGAAAACAATTAATAATTTTTTATTATCATTATTATTATTAGTTTTTACGTTTTCATATCGACCGTATTATATTATTACCCGAAGGGATTTTATCTCGACACTTCTCACACTTTATCGGATAATCGGATTCGAGAAAAACTTTATAGGTGGAAAATAAAAGGTACCCGGGAAATTTGCGCTACTCGTTCATCCATCCCATTTAAATAAAAAAAAAAAAATGAAATAAAATGAGGTAATTGAAAAAAAAAAACACGAAGGTATTAATGATGATGCCCTTAAACCGCAATAAAAATTCTTGAGAGAGAGAGAGAGAGACAGAGAGATTTGTACTAATAATTTATTATTATTATTATTATTATTATGGTCATCGTTTGTGTGTGCGTGTGCGTGTGTGTGAGTTGTCATGAATTGCATATATGGATTATTACTGGAACGTAATATCATCCACCGCAACGCGAAAAAAAAACGCATTAATTTAAATTTTATTCCGTCGTAATGAAAATGCATTATTATTATCATTATTATTATTATTATTTGTTTAAAAAAAAGAATTTTTAATTGTTTAATAACTTTACGATTTGAGTGTCATTATTTAAAATAAAACGCGAATAATAATGATAATAATGTCAGGAATTTATTCCCGTGAAATCGAGTAGAGGAAAAACCTGGAATGATTGATTGATTGGTGAAAAATTCCAACGAATAATCGGGATTTGTCGTGATCGAATGTGAAAATTATAATAATAATAATAATAATACAAAAAATTCGGTTAGGAGGTTAGTCATTTTTATCGTTTCCCATTAAACCTAATTTTTTAGTTATGATTCTCTCTCTCTCTCTCTTTCTTTGGGGGGGCCTTCTGAACTTTTTGTTTTGCGTGAGACACCGGAATTAAAAATCGATTGATAAATTGTCCAGCGTGACGTAATGAACCGACGTGAGTCGCTGGAATTTTTGTCGTTTTAACCCGCGAAAAAAAAAATTAAAGGGGACGAGGGGGAGAGAATGAGGAGGGTGAATTAGGGTAAATTGCATTCATTCATTACCCCCTTATATAAATGTAACAATTTGTAACGAGAATCAATCATTAACCTACTTTAAAATAAAAAAGTAAATAAAGAGAGAGAGAGGGGGGGGGGAAATCAGCCACCCAAACGAAATAAAAAAAAAAAAAGGAAAAAAGGGCAAAATATTCATTTCTCCCCCCGTGTCCAGTGTAACTAATTCATTAGTATAGAATTTTTTATTACCATCGATCGTTTTGATTTATTTAAAAATTTTTTTTTTTGTGAAAGGGGTTGGCACACCTGATTTCATATCACGTGTACCCCACGTTAATGATAATAATTTTTTTTGTCATCGTTCATCGTCGTTTAAATTTCAAGCAAGTAGGTTGAAACGAATTTTTTTACCCGATTCCCGTCGCACGGATCGATAATTTCTCATTATTTTTGGTTTTTCTATCGTTTTCGCGTGATGACATTTTTTTTTTTTTTTAAAAAGAAAAAATAAAGAAAATTTTTCAAAAGAGAAATGACAAAAAAAAAAAAAATTCAAAAGGTTTAATCATATAATTACGTTACGAAACAAGAAAATTGTTGAAATTTTTAAAGAGAGGGGGGGAGAGAGAACAAAATGGTAAATTTACGATAGGTGAACTCTTTTTGAAAAATTACACGTAAATAATAATAATAATAATAATAATAAAATTATTCGTCTTTATTCTTTTAATGAATTTAATAAACCGTAAAAAAAAAAAAAAATTATTGTGGGTAATAAATAATTTAAAAAATTTTTCGAACGTTTACAGTCACACCGATTTTGCCGTTCTCGTGATCCAAATAAAGCATAATAATGATAATAATAATAATGATACTGTCCATGCAAGGGGAAAAAAAATTTATTTTATTAAGGAAATAATAAACGCGAAGAAATTCAGATCATTTTCGATTTTTCATCATTATGTTAAAAATTAATACGGATTCGCACCATTTGTGCCATCGTTTGTACGATATATCGTTTTTATCGATATATATCGATCGTGCATGTATCGTTTACGTGATTATTTTTCGACCGGTACAAATAAAAATCGGTAATTTTAAAATAAAATTTGATTAGATCGTAGTTTCACGGAGTTTGTTTTTTTTTTTTTTTAAACGTTTTATTCAAAACAATTTTTTTTTTCTTTTTTTTTTTTTTTCCTCGGAAATAGTTATTAATCAGCATATTGTCTCGTTCAATTAACTAATTTTTTTACGAGGAAAAAAAACAATCATAAAAAAAAACAAAACTTAATTGTGACTTGACTCGACGATTTAGTTTATGAATAAAAAAAAAAAAAAAAAAAAAAAACGAGCACACACACACAAAAATGCGGAGGATGACAAAAAAACGAAAAATTGTGTTTTAGTGTATTAATTGCGCAAGAGTGTCAACAACAACAACAACTCGCGACAACAATTGTTTGTTCGTTTGTTTGCGATTTAAAAATTAAAAGAAGACGACGTTTCGAATCAAACAACGTTTTGTTTATGGAAAGAAAAAAAAAAGTCAAACGTAATTATCGCCTGTGAAAAACAACTACCAACACGTGATATTTCTAAAAAAATATTTCAACAGGAAAAATTTGGAAAAGTAAGAAAATCTGGGGGGAAAAAGGGAGAGAAGGAGGAGAGAGAGGAAAAGGGATCCCTAATTCGGAAAATTTGCGACAATAAAGTCAGATCTTTGAGTTTTATTTGTTTCCATTCACGTGAACGACCGTTTAATATGGATTTTATTGATTATTCGATTATCGATTATTCGATTTAATTGATCGTTTGATTGATTGATTGATTGGTTGGATAACGAGAAGAAGTTTACGTGTTTGTTACAAAGGAATTTTTCTCTTCTAAACAATGGCGCTTGTTAAAAAATTTTTTGAATTTATAAATGTCGACACACGACGATTATCACTCGCAAAGGGAAAACCCAAAAAAAGTCATATTATCGAAAGTTCGATTCGATAAAAACCGGAAGTTGCGTAGTGAAAAAAAAAAAAAACCCGCGAAAGGAAAATTTTAACTTGAGTAATAACTTAATGCATTTTTCCCGGTTTTGGATTTTTTTTTTTTTTTATTTTTTACTACCGTAAAACTCGTTAAGGAATCCGTTTTTTTAATCTCCAGAGCTTTTCCTGTTTTTTTTTCCGATTTGAATTTCAATTGCGAAAAGTTTTGCTTTGGTGTTGCGAGCGGTTGTCGGAAAGTTTAAATAATTTACGAAATTAAAAGGAGTTTTTTTTTCTTTTTCTCCCGGTGTCGTGGCAGGAGATTTTTTTTTTTTTTTTTAATCGTTCGCAAGTGAATGAATTAAACCGACCGTGAACTTTTTGAAAGGAAATTTCGTTCGTAATTCGTTAATTTTTTTTTTCTTTTTTAAACCCTACACGAAAATTATTTCGTGAAGAAAATGACCAGGTAATAAAAAAAATAATAATAATAAAAATGAAAAAGAAAATAAATTTTAGGGAAACTTTATTTTATCATTTTCCACGCGAATTTTTTTTTTTTTTTTTGCGTTTCACAAGGTTACTAACTAATTGTGACGCTTCAATTAATTGAAAACGTTCAAATTCCGCGTTTTTCTTTTTTTAATTACGAATTTAATACGAGATAAATAACGCACGCACGTAACGGTTTTATGAATTTTTTTTTTTCCTTTCCTTTACCAAACTAATTCATTTCCGGTTTTTTTTTTTTTTGTTCG